GCCAGAGAGGAAACAGGAACCTTCGGCAGAGTTCGGATTGACTATGCCTACCCCAGGCTTCTTTTTTTTCATCGTATGACCTCTTTGGTCTGTGTTGGTTTGTAAGTTTTATTTTTAACAGGTATGTGTAAATGTACGCCACATATGTGTGGGTGCTCTGGAGGCCAAAAGGGGGTGTTAGATCTCCTGAAACTGTAGTTACAGACAGTCGGGAGTCAGGCCATCCAGTGTGGGAGTTAGGAAGCTAACTCGCGTCCTCAATAAGAGCAGCAAATGCTCTTAACCCATGAGCCACCTCTCCAGCCCCTTGACTGTAATTTTTAAAGCCAGGTCTGCAAAACAAAACACTGACTTATGACGAAAGCTGTGTTAGTACAACCAGCCAATGGCTGCAAAGCAACCAGGTATGTTGCTAAGAATGAAATACAACATCTTCATTAATTCAACATTCAGGGGTCAAAGTGCTACTTAAAATGAGATTGGCAAGGTGACTCAATATGTATAGTTCTGAGACCTCTCTAAAGTAAAGGGGAAAGGGAAACACACCATTGAGCTAGCAAAGCCACAGCTTGGCGCAAGACAAAGACAAATACAGTTGACTACATCTTACATGCATAAACCAGTAATTGGGAGGGACTCGTACAAAACACTGCTTGTTGTTCATGAAGTGACTGTCTTCATTAAATCCATATTACGCTAGAGCTGTGAGTGAAATTTTCCAAATAAACACACACACTTCAGACATATCCCATCACTTCTATGAGAGGAACATTGTAGTTCTCATTTTCAGAAAGCCAGACAGTCAACAAATGGTAAAGTCTAACCAAATCCATGCCTGCTCACTCTAGCATCTGTGCTTCTAGTTGTCAGAGTTTGGAATGTTTGAGGAAAATATGAGCATAGAATGAGGAAATTAAAGCAAAGAATAAAAATTTCTTGCCCAACAGAGCTGCATCAGTTAGTAAAGTGCTTGTTGTGTGTGCTAGTCAGGATCCTACAGAGAAACAGAGCTTACAGGATGAATCATATATATATATATATATATATATATATTTGTATATGGGGAATTTCTTAGAAAAATCTACAGACTGCAGTTCAGATAATCCAAAATGTCTGGTGGTGAATGGAAAGCCCAAGAATCCAGTACTTTCTCAGTCCATGAGGCTGGATGTCTCAGTGGGTCTTCAGTGCATGCTGGGATCCTGAAGACATAGGCTGTAATGGCGCTGAAAGGACGGACTTGGTAACAAGGTGAGAGCAAGCTTCCTTCTTCCGGGTTTTTACATAGGCTTCCAGTACAAGATGTGGTCCAGATTAGAGGTGGATTTTCCCACTTCACACAATCCGGATTAAAGGTGTGTCTTCTGCCTCAAGATTCAGATAAAGGCATGTCTTTTCCCCAGTTCAAAAAATCCGGGTTAGCAGTGGCACTTCCTACTTCGACTTAAGCAAATATCCCTCCAGTTGGGGGTTTAGTTAATTCAGACGTAATCAAGTTGCCAACCAAGAACAGCCACCGCTGAGAAAGCATGAGGAGCAGACTCAGCTCTCCAGCTCCCACGTAAATGGAGGGCATGGGATCTAGAGGGTGGCAGAGAGAGCACAGAGGCTCATGGACCAGCCAGACTGGAAGAATCAGGGAGCTTCAGGCTCAGTGAGACACCTTGTTTCCAAAGAATCAGGTGAAGAAGTGACTGAACAAGACAGCTGCCACGAGTCTCTGGCCTCCACAGCCTCCATGGACCAGTATAGCGCCCACACATGTGCTTAGACATGCACACAACACACACACACACACACACACACGCACACACACGCACACACACACACATACACACACACATACACACAATGCCTTGAGTCTTACATCATGATATTAAGAATAGCATAAGGACAAATTCATAGACAATGGATTGATTTTGTAATCCCCTGGGGTTTATTTACTGTTCATAATGCTTTTTAAAACTCAACCTTCCATGTCTAGGACATTAGAGATGTGCATTACAGAAAGATCTTAGTTGTTTCAAGGAGGTGCATAAAGATTTGCACATTTAGTCTGTGACAAATGTAGAACTGGCATTCAAAGACCTGTGATCCAAAACCTAGTGTGTGCTCAATGAGGTTGCACCCTTCCGATGAGTGAAGTCTTAGGCGGGTAGTGATTTCGTGTGCAAGCAAGCAAACATGGCTGTAGTGTGCAGTAAGCCCTCTCCCTCCTCCTGTAACAAATGATCATCATGCAAAGATACCTGGAAGACTCAGTTTCTTGATAGTTCACAGCTTGTATCACTTAAAATGGAGTTCTCAAACAGCTGACCTGAACAAGGGGGAGCTCTTGGACCCCAGACTGATGGCTGAGAGGCCAGCATGGGACTGATCCAGACCCCCTGAATGTGGGTGTCAGTGCGGAGGCCTAGGCAATCTATGGGGCTTTGGGTAGTAGATCAGTATTTATCCCTGGCACACAAATAGTCTTTGGGTGCCCATTCCACAATGAGGGATGCTGTCTCAATCTGGACTCTTGCTGGAGGGCCTGGGCCCTCCCTGGAACGAAATGACAGACTCTAGAGATTCCCCATGAAGGGCCTTACCCTCCCTAGGGAATGGAATGGGGATTGGGTGGGGGGCTGGGACGGCCGGTGGGGGGGGGCAGGTGTGGAGGGGAGGGAGAGGGAGCTGGGACTGACATGGGAAGCAAGCTTGCTTCTAATTTAATTATATAATAAAATGTGTTTCAAAAAACAAAGGCGTAAGTAAGACAAATTCCTTAATCTAATCAAGTTTGCTGTTAGTTGTGCATTAGCAGTATAAAAGCTAATATATACTATATGGTCTTGCAACAGTTTTAAAGCCTCTGTATAACTGATAATAAAATGCATGACATTTTTGTTTTTAATAGATTTTTAAAATTATAATTTTAAGTTTAACACCTAGATCTTTGTACAGTTGACTTTTTGACATAGCAAGGCCAAAAATAACTTTCTGAAAACTTTTTCTTCTGTACAAGTGGAAAGGGCATTTTTCACATATAAGTGGGCTATTGTTTTCAAAAGAACTTTATCATTGTGCAATTAACAATAACTAACCCTTAATTATGGTGACAGTTCCTTATTAATGTGTGTGCAATTAATCTAACAGCTCTTACACTGTAACACAGTTGAATGATCCCCACACAGCCCATCATCCAGATCATTGATAGGTCTATTAACAATGAGACTGATAAAGTATTACTTGTTTTAAAAAATAAGATTATCTAAGGAAAAAAAACAGAAAATTATTTGGTGTGGCCATCTTACATGCTTATGTCTCATATAAAATGCTAATTCCCTTAGCAGTGGTATAATGCGAAGTTACATCCTACTGTTGGTGTATGTAAGCTCTGGTACACAGATGTTGTTTTGTTGTCCCAGCACTACAGTGAGATAAAGAAATAAAAACTTAAATTCATAAAAAATGGAGCTCTCTCAAGGAGCAGGATCACTATATCACAGTGGAGCTATGCTTGGCGTTGCGTTTTTTGTTTGTTTGTTTGTTTGTTTTTGAGAAATAATTACTAATTGCACCAGCAAACATGTTGTGTTTACTCTGCATCTCGCCACAGTCTTTTTCTTTTTAATTGTAAGTGTTCGGACTAGAGTGAGGCAAAGAATTCTAGTTGTGCTTTAGGTATGAATTTCTCTGATGCTGGTGATGCTAAGCATTTTCTTTAAGTATGTATTGCCTTCTTCGCAAATATCTGTTCACATTATTTGTCTGACACTGGACTTGAACAGTCACGATTAAGAGTCTTTGAAGTCAACAGTAGATGATGCAGAGTTCCTTTAGGCTGAATCCCACAAATCATCAACTTCATAGTAACCGTGAATGTAGGGCGAGCCCGCATCCCGTTTCTTGTGTTAAGTTACATGAGGCTCAGCGGCTGATTCAGTAAACTGAAGGGCCAGGATGCCATGCTCTCACTGCTGTTTTGCCTGACTCCTCCAAGTGGCACCAAGTGTAGATCCCAGAGAATGAGAGCTTGGTTAAAGTGAGTGCTTGAGTGGTTTCCAGCGTAGGAATCGGAATTTCAAAAGCCCCAAGTGACTCAGAGCTTGTGGGGCTGGATATTTAGTACCCGAGTTCTGAAACTCAGATTCCCCAAATCACAATCCTGAGCTTTCGGGGTAGCCAAACAGTCCCAATTCTACTTTAAAGTTTAAGTCGTAGGTGCTGAGCTGTGAGGGTCAACTGATGTTAGTCATCTAACCCAGGTCCCAAACCTGCAGTTAAACAGAGCCTGGAGTCAGATTTATTCTTGAAGCAGGGAACTCTGGTTCCTGAATGAAGGAAAAATGTCATATGGCAAGGGCTTTTCTGATATATTTATTTGTTTGTTTGTTTGTTTATTTATTTATTTTTGTTGTTGTTGTTGTTTTCTAGTGATCTGTCTGCCCTGCTAGCTCTCCTTCTTCCTTAGGTTCAGTAATATTTCCTCTAAGGTTTACCCTGACCCATGGGCTGTTCCCAAATCTGCCTGATCCCAGCTTACACAGTACATCATGCCCGTAGCATATGAGCCACCACATTTAATATTTTCTCTTTTCTATCTCATCCCCTCTTGCCTCACTTCCCATGTGCTGAGCATAGGAACTAGAACACTCTGATTATATATATTCAGCAAAAAGTGGAACAGTTAGATCAACAAAATGTCTCATGGAGTAAAGACACCTGCCACCATGCTTGTTAAACTCAGTTTGATACTCTGAACTCATATGTTTCTAGAAGCAAATTACTGACTCATGCAAGTTGTCTTCTGACTTCCACATGTGTGCGGTGGCACACACACACACACACACACACACACACACACACACACAAACACATCATGAAAGGAAAATATTTGAGCTGTTGAATAATGGAATCAATGTAATTTGTAACTCATGTTAAAACCGTACCTGATTAGTGACTAAACACATTCTGCAGTATTGGTTTCAATAAGTGGAACAATGTGCTATTCAACCTTTCCATTCTTTGTACCTGTATTTGCAGACACACAAAGATTCCTGTAGACAGAAGCTTTTACAGTAGCTCTGGTTTGTGGTAAAGGCTGAAAATTGGAGTCTAAGCAAATGACCACACAATCCCAAGTTCTTTTTCAAGGTCAAAAATATTACTTTTTCAGAAGGGTACATAGCCATGTTGAACAAAGCGGACAGGCATCCAGTATGTGCAGTGTGTATGCATGTGTGGGGTTCTGCTAGGCTTTATTCCCAATGCAAAGGAGTCCATGCTTCTCCTTGACTGGCTGGTTGGAGCTTCGGCTCACATCCTTGCAAGACTGCTGATCTAACTGATGCAACTGAGAAGCAGAACACATTTTTCTGTGTTAGCAGAGTATGCAACCTTGAGCACACATTTGGATTTCAAGAAGTCATGATCCTGGAGGAATTAGAATTTCTGCCAAGCACTTCTTCAGTCTTTTATTTAAAATTTTCTTATGTAACTCTTGATGGAAAGGACAGTAAATTTTGTTTAGGTGTCCCACAGGAGCATGCGCCAGATACGTCATTCATGACTGCTTTTGGGAACCAGCATCTTCAGCGTAGGCTCTTCACAGCCATTTACATCAAATCTGAGACACTAGGCCAGCTCTTACTCAAGTTTAGAATCTGGTTTGAGCATCCAAAGCCTCATGTGAACGTGAGTAGGAACTTAAAATTCAGAGGGATTAATCTTGTTTTGGAGCTTCACTTAATAAAAAAGATAATGGGCTTGGCTGGACTTGAATGTGGTGTCTTTCCTGACGGAGCTCAGAGAGGTGAGAAATGGTGGCACACAGGTGACTTGGAGTAAGACTTCCCTTGGCGTACTCCCTGCGCCTGTTCCCACCAGTCATTTCTGAGCTAAGTTAAGTTCACCGTGGAGCTTGGACTGCTGATGTTGGTTTGGTCCTCGTGTTCCTCTGAGCATCCTTGCACTCTGACCAGTGTTTAAGGGGCCATCAACGCAGACCTGTGAAGATTACAGCACTGGACTCATTTATTTCCTGGCACTGGCCGAATTCAGCCTATTGGAGGGACTTGTGGGTTACAGAGGGCAGAAGAGCGAAGTCAAGGTCTCTGACTCATTCCTCAAGGGTATGTTGCTCTCTCTCTCTCTCTCTCTCTCTCTCTCTCTCTCTCTCTCTCTCTCTCTCTCTCTCATGTGTGTCTGTGTCTGCACATGCACGCATGCTCATGCACTCAAACATGCACACACAGTTTCCTGAAGAATCCAAATTAGGGTGTCAGAACTCCAGAACCAGAGTTACAGGTGGTTGTGAGCCATCCAACAGGAGTAATAAGAACTGAACTTCTGTCCAGTGAAAGAGGGGTGAGCACTGTTATCTCTAGGCCCCCTCTGCATCTCACACTTGTGATAACTGCCAATCTCCTTATACCACTATACTTGCACCTTCATTGTCTTGGGGTAGGCATTGTGTTATGCTGTGCTGAATTCTCCACACTCCTAAAGGTTCCGTCATAAAACCCACTTTATCCAAGTGCACTGTCATTTTCTGTTCCGGGAACTGCCTTCTATAGATATTATTGTGGATTGGGAAAGGACCTACATGAAATGCATAGGACTCTGCAGTTGTTGATAATAGAAGCGAGGGTTAAACTTCTTTCTTTGATGATATAATTGGGGTCTAATTTGCTTATGTCGTACACAAGGGCTTTAATAGTTCCAAAAACACTCACCAAAACAGGTAAAGCTTAATGCTTGTCCCCAGAACTCTACCAGAGAGCATTTCAAAGAAGACATGACACATAAAATTAACTGAACTCAAATTGGAATCTGAAAGAGAGAGCAGCATATGCATATCGGATGTAGTTCTATAAAAGCCAAGTTTCTATAACTTCCAGGTGTTTTTTCCTCTGATAGTTTGGGATCCAACTGGTTTAAACAAGACAACAATTGATAGTTTAAACCAAAACATGCAACCCCAAATCAGTCTATGCACAGGATTTTTTTTTCAGTTACACTTTTGCTGCCTCTGAACTAAAAGTGACAAGCATCTCAGGCTTGGTTTTGTCCAGGGAGCATGTAGTCAGGCAGTCACAGAGTGTGGCTGATCAAGTAGAAAGTTAGGGTTTCATGACATGAAAGGAGTTCATGGGAAAGCAAAGCCTACTGAGTGGGAGCAGAATAAAGAAATGCTACCTAGAAAACTGATGGGCTTAGACAGGTCTGTCGATGCATTGTGAAGAGGGGTTGCCACGGGCTTTGTGCAATGCCCAGTTGACATGGGAAGAGCAGAGCACCTGCCAGGCTATTCCTTCTATCCTGAAGGGTAAAAGACGCTCAATGGGTGGAATTAAAAACTCCCAAGGGAGTTTGTTATTTCCCCGAAACGTACAGAGTATTATATTTGTACAGCAAGCCACATCGTGCCTTAGCCTCTATGTTTTGCCCTCTTTTTTTTTTGCTGTAGCATTGTACATTGTGAGTGTTTGCTGTGGGGTTAATGCAGAGTTAAGGGCTGTGATCTTGGTTCCCTTGACAGATAGGAGCCCCTTATTTGTCAGCCGTGTCCCGAGCAGCAGTCACAGAGCAGCACCCTCCAGAGTGTGTGACTGACTGATGAATGAAGTGAAATAGTTTCTGCTCCCACGGGACCAAGGCAAACATCACTCTATATTTAGTACTTCCTCAACCCCCATGCACAGAGAGATTAACTAGACATGCTCAAAACAGAGTTAGTATCCTGTGATCATAAAACAATAACTTCCAGCATTCATCCTGAACAATGATGACTGCAAACCCACTTCTTGTATTGGTCAACAATTTCCAAATAACCAAATCTAATGCTTCTGTGGAATACTGTACATGCAATAAAATATAGACTCCCAGATATTCTTTATTTCCATTTTCCTAGGCTGAATATGTGGAACCTTCTTTTGAGATTGCTAACTTTTGCTTTAGTAGATACATTTGTGCTTGAATTTATGAATTCACAAGGATTTTACAGAAAACAATACCCCCGAAAACAAACAACAACAACAAATGCAAGCTAAGCAAGGCACTTACGTGGGGCTTAGCTGTACATGAGCTCTTCCATTTGATAAAAGCACATTATCTTGGCACAGGAAGTAGAGAAAATGACCGCACATGCTCCGGCCCCAGCACACAGTCCATTCTGTTCAGCGGTTAATTCATGTTGCTGGCTTCTTCAGCAGAGATGGGTTATTCCATCGCTCACTATCTGGGGCAACAGGCACTATTTTGCCAGAGAAAAGAGTCGCGGAAATGAGGTATGTAAGAACCGCTTTTCATGACCTAATTGAAAGCTGAGACGGGAGAGGCAGTGGTTAGTTTGGATTATTTCCTAGAACTGTTACCGGCATATTGTGATATGCAAATATTTAGAATAGAGATGAAACCACAGATTATTAAACTTTTAACCATGCTGAATGGATAGAAAAATTATGTGTGAGAAGAAAATGTCTGAGTATGTGTGTTATTTGTACATATTTAAAACAGAAGAGATGATTTTTCAAAATTACCCTGTAGTTGAAGTGAAAATAACTCTTGTTGACACAGTGCTATGGATTGAGGAGTTGTTTTTCCAATAGGTGATTGTTCCAGGCTGTGTTTTTTTATTAAGATCAATTCTACAAGACAGCTCTGTAAACTCCATTTTCAGAGAGGTTATGTGGTCCATTAACGCCTTTTATGTTCCCTGAAAGAACTGAAATGCTCCCTATTCTAAAAGGTGCTTTCCCTACTTTGAATTTACAGTTGAAATTCAGGGATGAAGCAACCAGCACTTGTGACCAAAAATCAAACACAAAACCAAACCAAAGCAAACCAAAGGCCAGGTCTTCCCATTGCCTCATCACACGGTGGCTGGAGTGAGCAGGCAGAAGGAAGCAATGCGTATCCCCAGCACAGAGCAGCCTACAGTGCCCTACTGCCCCTCGACTTGGGGACTAGCTTCATCACGCATACGCTTGCTGTGGTTGTAAGGTCACAGAAAATACATTTGTAAACATTCTATACTCCATTTTTTTTTGTGCTGAAAAACAGGAGACAAAAAGAAAAGGCAGGTTTTAAAATGAAAATATATCAGAAATTAATGTCACCACGTTTCACATATATTTGTGGCACAGCCGTTAGGACAAGACAGAGTGACTTCTCCCTGGAAAACAGCTTTCCGTTCCCACGGGGATGCCTTTCTTCAGGAAGGAAGTCTGAGTGTGAAAGGAACAGCTAAAGGGGAAGAGGGCATGTCCCAGGACTCATAGTTTGCCAAGATAGAACTTGATGTTGCGTTTTCAAATCAATAACAAGATACATTGTTATGTTTCACTTTAGAGTAAGTGTGTCTGTACTATGGGTATTTAGTTCAATACAAACTTAAACACATTGTATGTGCAAATGCAACTGTGGGAACTGAGCTAATTCCGTGAGCTATAAATGAAGTTTTTGGTAAGATGTTTCCTTTCTTTAGAAAAGCAAACACCTCTTGTGTTAGCTACTGTCTTATTCTGAGCTTGGTGAGAATCCTTTATTTGAATAATGAGTGGAAAATGGGGAAGCCCAGGTGCCTTGGTCCTCCCAGTGCCTGTTTGTGAGGATATAGATGACTACTTTCCACATTCTTGGCTTTAACAGACTCTTAAAGTTGTACTATGAGACAAGCTGGAACTGTGGCTCGTTCCTATTTTAGTGGGGAAAGAACAGATCTGGGGGCTGCAGAGGCGGCTCAGTGGTTAAGAGGGCTTGCTGCTCTTCCAGAGGACCCAGCTCAATTGCAGCACCCGTATCAGGCGGCTCACAAGCACCCGTGACTGCAGCAACCCGGTATCTAATCCCCTCTTCTGATCTCCGTGAATACCTGCGCTCATGTGGTGTATGTGCACACAGGTATACACATAAGTAAAAATTAAAGATAAATATTTTAGCTGGGAGGTGGTGGCGCATGCCTTTAGTCCTAGTGCTTGGAAGGCAGAGGCAGGCGGATCTCTGTGAGCTCCAGGCCAGCCAGGGCTGCACAGAGAAACCCTGTCTCAAAAAACAAACAAACAAATATAAGAATAATTAAAGGGATAAACATTTTAATAATGAACTGAAAGAGGCTTGTCTCTTGATCATTTGGTACTCGGTTCTGTTTTATGTCTCCTTCCCATCCATGTTACTGTTTTACTGTTTCACGAGAGCTTTCCTTGCAGGCTTTCTCTTCTGTTTAAATCTCATTTCTCACTTACCTTTACATTTTCGTCTTTTTCAAACCGTACTGCACCCTCACCCGAAGCCTCTCTCTTCCCTCGTCTTCAAACTTCCTGTCTATAACAGAGATCATGGAAGACAGCAAATACAGAATGCAGGAAGTGAAAGCCCAAGGAGATTATCGGAGGTCAGAAAAAGGAGAGCACAGTGAGGGCTAGGAATTTCGGGGGGGGGAGGTGCTGCTGGGTGACCGTTCATATAACCTGGTTTGGTGGCTCGGTCTTCTCCCTTACCCAGCTTGTTAACGTGGAAATAAAGCCTTTCCCAGGAACTCCCATCCTACTCAGAAAAACAAATGTACACATGTTCCTAAATACATAACTACAACTTGCTCAGTCTAAGTAATACTACCCAAGTGTACATGACCTCGGGGCTGACTACTTGCTACTCCTCCTAGTCACTGTTCTATTGCTGTGAAGAGACTCCATGACCACTCAGCTCTTGCGAAAGAAAGCATTTAATTAGGGTTGCTTACAGCTCCAGAGGCTTAGTCCATCATCTTTATGGTGGCAGGGAGCATGGCAGCAGGCGGGTGAGCAGACAGGAAAGCATGGTGCTGGAGAAGTAGCCCTGGTTACATCCTGATCCACAGACAACAGGCAGAGAGGGGAGGGGCTGGGCCTGGCATGAGCTTTCAAACACTCAAAACTCACCCTGCTTGACGTATTTCCTTCAGCAAGCACACACCAACTCCAACATGACCACACCTCCCAATCCTTCCCAAACAATTTATCAACTGGGGACCAGTCATGAAAATATGTGAGCCTATTGGGCATTTTTCTCCAAACCACCACAGTGTTGGATAACCACCATGGGAAAAGCCCTTTCTGTGGGGGAAGAGCTCCCATCATTCTCCAGTTCTTTGTCCAGAGCTGAGACCTCACACAAGAGCTTTCCCACTCCCAAGTTAGCATGTCTGTTGGTATTGTCCTTGTCAGGTCTTGTGTAGGCAGGCATGTTGATGAGAACTCATGGTACAGTCTCTCTGACATATCTGAGAGACACCGTCTTACAACTTATCTCCCCCTGCTTAGTCTCTACAGTCTTTCTGACCCTTGTTTCACAACGATCCTTGAGCCATTCATCACTGGATGGACATCTAGGCTGTTTTCATTTCCTGGCTGCTTAGTTTGGCAGCAGTAACATGGGTGAGCAAGCATCTCTGTAGAAGAATGTACAGTCCTTCGGGGAATACACTGAGGAGTGGTACAGCTGGATCTTACTTGTAGCTTTTTTGAGGAACAACCATGCTTTTTTCAGAGTGGCTGCACCTGTTTGCACTCCCACTACCAGAGAGTGTTTGCCTTCCTCCACACACACACCAGAGAAAATCCTGCCTTGGCTAATGTCTACAATCTGGAATGTTTTCTTTTTCATAGAAATAAGATCTGTTTTGATAAGATATAATTTACCCCAACCAATCACACAGGTAAAGCATCTACCGCTTTACCTGGAAGCACTAACTAAGAAGTTGTTTCTTTAGCAAAACATAGTCTTGGTTTGAGTTGAAGGTGATGAATGGAAATGAAAGGTCATTGTGAACATGGCAGTGCACTCTGCAAGCTCCCTGATGAATCTTGGAGCTGATGAAGTTTCACTAAGTTCCACTCTATGGTGGCCTTTCACTACTACTGACAACACTGCCAGGAAAGCAGATAAGTTCTCAGAAGGAAAGGATATTACATTTTCTAGACATGGCTACATTCAGGGAAGGTGGCTTGTGAAGTCTATTGGTCCGCTGGTGCTCTCTTCATACTGAAGGGTCTGTAGGCAGTCTTCAGAGAGAGTATCCCATTGAACATTTATCACAAGGAAGCTACTCGTTTATCATCTCTGTTTCCTTCATTTAAGCCCCTCCCATAACCAGGTGCATCCTCAATTCTGCAACGACGTTCCTCTTTGGATTTCTAGGGGGTGATAATAAGGCTTGAACCTTTCAGCTGGGTGAAAGTCCTTCAACCTCAAGAATACCTTCTGACACAGGACACATTTCTTCTTACAGCATTTTGATGAGGACAAGGAATTATCTAAGTTGCTTATGACAAGCTAAAGGCCTCAATAGAGGCTAGCAGCCTCTTTGGCAAGTCTCCATCATGGAGGTTTCCTCTTTCTGGATTCTTGATCATGACTCCAAGTTTCCAGGGATGTTGCAGGTTGACAGAGTCCATGCATTAATTGTCTCAGTCAGTAAAGTTCTCCCTCAGCACATAACTGATTCCTCAGCTGAAGAAAGCTCCCACACACTCCCACCTCAAGCCCAAGCTTCCAAACACACCCTCATCTGATTCAGTCATGCTTCTATTTTTGTCATGCCATTCTCTCCCAGGAATTAGGCTAGATGGCCATATTATAGGCTCATCACAACAGCTAAGCAGCAGATAATGGGACAGTGTGCTGATTTCTGCTTTTAGATGATACGATTTAAAGAAATAAAAAGTGTATTTATATTACTATCAATTTTCTTGGAGCAATGTACTACTCTAAGTATAGCAATGACTCAGCAAATACTGAAGACGAGTGAATTTACTATTCTGTTCACCATTTTAAAATGTCTTCATGTTCTCTGCTCTAAATTCATTTATGTTGATGTCACAAATACCTTGGCCAAAAACAGCTTAGGGAATAGATGGTTTATCTGGCTTGTGAATACAGGTGTAGTCCATCATCAGAGGGCCGTCACTGGAGCAGGTTCTGGAAACAGCTGTTCACAGTACAGCCGCAGATGAGAGCAGAGAGAAACAAATGCACCCATGATGTCTACTTTCTTGTTCTGCTAGCTCTCACTACTCTCACACAGCCCAGGGCTCTAAGACAGGGGATGGTGCCCGCTCCAGTGAGTTGACTCACTTTATAAATAAGAAAATCCCTCACAGGCCAAGAGAATCTAGACAGTCCCTTAAGGCTCTCTTTCTAGGTGACTGTAGGTTGTAGC